GGAGCGAGACGCGTGCACGAGGGCCGTGTCCACGGGACGTTTATTGCTCTGACAATAAATACGGGAGGAATCACAGTGACGAGTAACATCCGGCGTGTACAGCTCGCGCAGTCTCAGCCTCATAGCCCCTCCCCCCCACCCACCGAGTACTCACTTTATCGACCCCGCAGAGATGACGACCTGTGTGTGTATGCTGAACTTCTTTCGCACCGTATGTAGCCAACCGTGCTAATCGGAGGTGCTCGTCAACGATGACGATTTCACGTCTTTGCACTCCCGACATAGCCAAACAAATTAAACTGTCACGTGGTGTGCCAGATGGATCGGTTAGAATCCTGATTCTGACTTCCTGGACTGTTACTCTGACTTTCTGCATTTTGTCCTGAAGATGCTTGAAGCAGTTTCAAGCCAAACGCTGCCCTTCTTAATTCAACAACATCGGCCGTCAGAATTGCTCTCTGAACTCACGGGCGGGCGGGCGACCGAGCCGAAACGATAAGACCGTAATCGGCACGTAGTTAACACGCTTGTACACCACGTGACAAATTAATGTTTGACCGCGTCGGGTGGTGGAGGGTGCATGACCACAAACATTTAGTTTAACCCCCAATAACCAATTATGAATCAGAGACGACGTTGAACTGTATGTGTTGACGTAAACGAGACTCATCCTGGTCACGCAAACTCAACTCGATTGTCCCCCGCGTTACCTTCCCTGCCAAAACATTCCCTTGTAGCCGCACCTAATTAGGCTTCGTTAGCGAGAAACCTGGAAGGGAAGAAAAACAATGACGCGCACGGATTCCGTGACCACTTCCAACACGCGGTGGCGGCGACGCGGCCCAGCGTTCAGCGCTTGTTTCAGGGGTTACGTGCTTCGATTCCAGCAAGCCGCCCTAGTTAATACTGCAGTTTGCATTGACCGCACTAATGCTACGCGCCGTCTGCTTCACAGTGGACGTTCAAGATCCCCCCCCCCCCTGCCGTCATTCGGAAAGAGTGAGCTATTGTGCACCGGTGTCACGGTACAGATTTGGAGAAAAGATTACACAGCGAATTACTCAACGGGGATTACTCAGCAGGAGCAGCATCGCCCCCTAATACGAAACCACCCCAGACCGCGTCCGTGAAACCTAACGGCAGCACCTTCCTTCGCGATATCCGTGCGCTCGCTAGAAGAACGACAGCGTGAATAACCAAAACGTGCAAAAAAACATTATTGTGATGATTATTAATTAATGAACGAACGATTACGCTTTATCCTCGGAAGTGTTTAATCGGCGGCAATCGCGGAAGCACCACGCATCGGAAGCGGTGAGCGTGGTGGGCCATGCGGTGACGCCACGGGGAGGGCGCGGGGGGTGTGGGGGGGGGGAGGCGACTCCTCGGTCCACGTGGCCGGGCGCCCTCCAAGCCAAGTCGCCCTAACAGCAACGCAACTTTTGAGCGTCAAAAATCGTCGCATCGACGTCAGCGAGAGTCGCCGCGACCCTGGCGTTGCGGCCGGACGGGGTGCCGATGGAAAAAAAGCATAGGGCTTTACCCGTTCCAGTAAGAGCACAGGAGGCGTTAACATGTTTAAAACGCCGAATAGACACCTATCGTCGGCAAGGCATCAAGGCCGCATTCACCACACGCATCCACGCTTGCGGTAAAACATGCAAACGAAACGTGCTTTGATAATAACGTATGCATTGTCCTTGCAACCGATTGACCTACACCAGCAGTGTTAGGCCAGAGAACGCCACAAAGGCAATGAAACTATCAATGCATTAATAGCTCGGGTTGAGCAGTCTTCTTTTTCCATCATCTTGATACCGTCAAACAAGGATCCCATGGACATGGGAGTTATTGCATTCACGTCAGGCGCTCCGGAACAGCACGCCCGTGACGTCACAGTACGCCCGTGACGTCACAGTACGCCCGTGACGTCACAGCACCGACAATGGACGGGTGCAGTAGCCACGCTCTCGAGCAGTTACACGGAACGCTCACCGCCATCGCACCGCCCGCACCGAGGCTGATATATAAAAACAAGTAGTACCACTGTGGGAAGTGAACAGAAAGTCCCCACCTTACGGATAGACTGGTCCCCACCACAGGAATGTGGAATTTTTCATCGCTGGCTCAGGCCCGCAAACAGTAACAAGCGCTGCCCCCTCCCACCTCCCCCGCCGTTTCTCCACCGGCTTTGGATGGGAGATGTAGGCACACAATGGCCTCCCCACTTCTCAAGGCAAGTGGCAACAGTCGCTACGACCGATTATCCGGAACTCCAACTCGTCGCTCCGAGCGCAGCGGCTCAATGGCGAGCGCAGCCGCCTCTAGATTTACTCAGCCATAAATGCGGCCCAGGTAGAACACAGCAATGGCCGCTTAAACCCCCCCCCCCCCCCCAACCCCATGGCCTTTAAGGCCAAGAAATTTGAGGGACACATGGTTACATGAAAAACGTGACGTGAATGTTTAGAGAGGCTCGTGACGACTCATCATCATCAGCATCCTCATCGTCGTCGTGATATCTTCTTAACAGTCATCATCTTGAGTTCATCAGCATCGTCACTATGAACGACGCCATCGCAGTAAGCATTGTCTTCAGCATCATTGCCATCGCCATCATCACAGTCGTCTTTATCATTGTCGACGCCATCGTCATCACCGTCTTCACCATCATCACCGTCATCTTCACTGTCACCACCTCTCACCATCTTCATCATCGCCATTGTCATAATCATTGTCATCAGCATCATTGTCATCACATGTGAACTCCTGCTGACCTCCCTTGATTTCAGGGTTTGGGGTGTGTGTTCCGTGGCCGTTGCCATGGCGATCGTGTTGTGTGCACAGGGCCCCCTGGGAATTCGGGACAAGGACCCCTGTGGCCCCCAGTGGCACGTGGCACAGAGCCCTGAAGTTGCCATGGCAACACAGATGACTGAATTCTTCACGTGACATCAGGTTTCCATGACGACAAGCCGACATCTCCATCGACCCCTCCCCCAACTGTCTCTCATCCCCTCACTCCTCCATTACACTCTCTCTGCTCCGACACACACCATCATCTCCTCCACCACACACCCTCTCCTCCATGACACACCCTCTCCTTGCATGACACACCCTCTCCTCCATCACACACACACCATCTCCTCCATCACACACCATCTCCTCCATCACACACCATCTCCTCCATCACACACACCATCTCCTCCATCACACACCCTCTCCTCCACCACACACCCTCTCCTCCATGACACACACACCCTCTCCTCCATGACACACACACCATCTCCTCCATCACACACACACCCTCTCCTCCATCACACACCATCTCCTCCATCACTCACACACCATCTCCTCCATCACTCACACACCATCTCCTCCATCACACACACACCATCTCCTCCATCACACACACACCATCTCCTCCATCACTCACACACCATCTCCTCCATCACACACACACCCTCTCCTCCATCACACACCATCTCCTCCATCACTCACACACCATCTCCTCCATCACTCACACACCATCTTCTCCATCACACACACCCTCTCCTCCATCACATACACACACCATCTCCTCCATCACACACCATCTCCTCCATCACACACCATCTCCTCCATCACACACACACCATCTCCTCCATCACACACCATCTGCTCCATCACACACACACCATCTCCTCCATCACACACACACCATCTCCTCCATCACACACACCATCTCCTCCATCACTCACACACCATCTCCTCCACCACACACACACCATCTCCTCCATCACACACACACCATCTCCTCCATCACACACACACCATCTCCTCCATCACACACCATCTCCTCCATCACACACACACCATCTCCTCCATCACACACCATCTCCTCCATCACACACACACCATCTCCTCCATCACACACACACCATCTCCTCCATCACTCACACACCATCTCCTCCACCACACACACACCATCTCCTCCACCACACACACACCATCTCCTCCATCACACACACACCATCTCCTCCATCACACACCATCTCCTCCATCACACACACACCATCTCTTCCATCACACCATCTCCTCCATCACACACACACCATCTCCTCCATCACACACACACCCTCTCCTCCATCACTCACACACCATCTCCTCCATCACTCACACACCATCTCCTCCACCACACACACACCATCTCTTCCTTCACACACACACCATCTCCTCCATCACACACACACACCATCTCCCCCATCACACACACACCATCTCCTCCATCACTCACACACAATCTCCTCCACCACACACACACCATCTCCTCCATCACACACACACCATCTCCTCCATCACACACACACCCTCTCCTCCATCACATACACACCCTCTCCTCCATCACACACCATCTCCTCCATAACACACACACCATCTCCTCCATCACTCACACACCCTCTCCTCCATCACATACACACCCTTTCCTCCATCACACACACACCATCTCCTCCACCACACACACACACCCTCTCCTCCACCACACACACACCATCTCCTCCATCACACACACACCATCTCCTCCATCACACACACACCCTCTCCTCCACCACACACACACCATCTCCTCCATAACACACACACCATCTCCTCCATCACTCACACACCCTCTCCTCCATCACATACACACCCTTTCCTCCATCACATACACACACCATCTCCTCCATCACATACACACCATCTCCTCCATCACACACACACCATCTCCTCCATCACACACACCCTCTCCTCCATCACACACACACCCTCTCCTCCATCACATACACACACCATCTCCTCCATCACACACACACACCATCTCCTCCATCACACACCATCTCCTCCATCACTCACACACCCTCTCCTCCACCACACACACACCATCTCCTCCATTACTCACACACCATCTCCTCCATCACATACACACACCATCTCCTCCATCACACACACACCATCTCCTCCATCACATACACACACCATCTCCTCCATCACACACACACCCTCTCCTCCACCACTGCCTCCCTCCCTCTCTCTGTCTCCCCCTCTCCCCCTCCATCTTCTGTCGGCTGTGTTTGTATAAACCAGTGCATGCGTGTGCACGCATGCGTGTGTGTACGCGCACAAACGTACAGACACGCACACATGCACACACGCGCGTGCGCGCGCACACACAGGCTCACGTGACCGCCCCCATCTTCACTCCCGCACGTACGTGATTTTGTCGGGGTCAGAGGTGAAATCTGCAGCCCCGGTTTTGAAGAACACAAGCTGGCGACCTGAGGGCGGTGGGGGAGATGAGGGGGGAGCAGGGGGGAGCATGGGGGAGGCGGGGGGAGGGATACGCAGAGAGACAGAGATTAATGATGGGGAGGGAGGCGAGAGGGAGAGAGGGAGAGGGGTTGAGAGAGGGGGTTGGAGACTGAAATCTGCAGACGCATTCTTTCCGGCGGTGAATGTTTAAATTGAGTTGGAAGCCACGTGAGGGAGACAAAGGCGGTCAAGGCAGACACGTGCCCCCTGTGATTCACACACATGTGTGATCACACATTTAAATACACACACAAGCTTACATGCCATTTAAATACACACACAAAGACACTCTTTGTAGCCATGAATGCCTCTTGGGGCAAGTGCTGTTAGCGAGCACCTCTGAAGGGTGGGACAGCACACGACGGGGTGGGGTGTGGCCAGCCCCACGCCCGGCCGCCTTTGTCTCTACCGTAGAGATGTTTTTACACACCGCACCAGCTACTAATTTAAGGCTGAGTTGATCTAGGGGAGGGCCAGGACCACTTCAGATATTCGTCACCGATGTTGTCTGTGAGCAGGAATTGAACTGGCGTGGTCAGGTTCGTAACACAGGATGTATGTACATAAGTTGAACTCCTTTCACAACGTACGTAGCCAGCCGTGCTAATCGGAGGTGCGCTAACCACTACACACTCACACACTCAATACACATATACAAACAAAGACGAAGATGCCCGTGTAGCTTGAAGGATTGTTGAGGCAAGTGCCGTTAGCGAGCACCGCTGAAGGCTGACATGGTGGTACAAGGCGGTGCTTAGCGCCACGTCCGACCGCCTTTGTCTCCCCAATGTTGATGTACCTGTCTGTGTGCATTCATGGGTATGTGTGTGTGACGCCCCCCCCACCAATCTGCCCATCATCTTAGACCCCTTTCACTTGTCCTGGTGAGCCCCCCCCCCCCCCCATTCTCTCTCAACCCCCCTCTCTGACCCCCGCCGGCGCGGCTCTCACCAGTCCAGGTGAGCGTGCCGGTGAGCACGAAGGCGCGGCAGGGCGTGTGGGCGCTGCACACGAGCGCGGCCTCGCCCGCGTCGTGCACCGACAGGAGGCACGCCGTGGGGTGGTACGAGGGCATGCAGCGGTAGTCGTGGCGCTCCGACACCGCCACGCCGCGCAACTCGCGGTAGCCTGCGGTGCGCGCCGGGGGGGGGGGGGGGGAGACACGGTGGGGCGGGGGGGGGGGTTACGCACCGGAGCGGGGCGGCCGGAGAAGAAAGGGCAGAGCACGTGAGCGGCGGAAAGGGAAGTGATGGGGAAGGGCAACACACCAACGAAGTGCAGGGATGGGGAGCAGAGGGTCAGACAGAGAAGGGCAGGGGGGCAAGGGCAGGAGGGGCAGGAGGGGCAGGGGGGGCAGGAGGGGCAGGAGGGGCAGGAGGGGTAGGAGGGGCAGGGGGGCAAGGCCAGGAGGGGCAGGAGGGGCAGGAGATATTGTGGAAAGGAGAACTGAGTAGAAGATGAGTGGGGTTGGGAGGAGGGATAAGAGGGGGCAGGGGAGGGGTGAGGGGAGTCGAGAGAGCGGTGCGTGATTGTGAGGATCGATGTCCTGCACAGGTGTTTCTGTCATCATCAGCATCAGTCGCCGCCAACATCTCCATCATCATCATACGAATTACAGTCACATCATCACCATTATCATCAACACCACCGTTGCATGTATGTTGAACTTCTTTCACACCGTACGTAGCTAGCCACCATCACAACCACCTCACCATTATCAGCACCATCACCATCATCACCCTATTCCTGTCACGTGTTCGAAGACTCCATGCCCAGCAAGGGGCAGGATCCTCCGGATCCCATCCCTCTGTGTCCCCTCAACCCCAAAGGGAGGGGGGAGGCAGGTCAGGGCTGCGCGTGGGGGAAGGGAGGGAGGCTTAAGGGGATTAAAGCGAAACCTCTCGCCCCTCCCCCCTCTGCTTCCCTATCCCCTCCGCCCCCCTCTCCGCTTCCCTCTCTGATCCCCTCTCTGCTCCCCCCTCCTCTCTGCTCCTCTCACCTCTCTGCTCCCCTCTCTGCTCTTCTCCCCTCCCCCCTACTCCCCTCCCCCTCCCGAGCATGGTTATTAGGCGCCCCGACCCCAACCCCTGACCCCAGGGGTCCCTGGACCCCTGTGAGTGCATTCCTGTGGCGAGCCGAGGGGTGTGTACACGTGTAGAGGGTGTGTTCACTCGTTTGGGGGTGTGTACACGTGTAGAGGGTGTGTTCACTCGTTTGGGGGTGTGTACACGTGTAGAGGGTGTGTTCACTCGTTTGGGGGTGTGTACACGTGTAGAGGGTGTGTTCACTCGTTTGGGGGTGTGTACACGTGTAATGTGGTGTGTATGCACACGTGTTGTGTGTGCTAGTCCGTGGGTGAGTGTGTGTGTGTTAGTACCTGTGCTCGCTAACAGCGCTTGCCCCAACAGTCTGTTAAGGCAATACAGGGGATCTTTGTCTTTGCGGGTGAGCGAGTGAGAGAGTGTGTGGATGTGAGTGAGTACACACACGCCTCTCCCCACGTCGCCTTCCTTCATCGTTATCTCTCACGGGCACTCGTTAATACTTGACGTGGTGTGCCGGGTGTGGGTGGAAACATCTAATACGGGGCTGCTCTGAGCACGTGACTCGACAACGCTAGTCGTGCTGCTGGAGGGGACAGCACGCCTCGTGCACTCTTTAACTTTCTAGGCCAATATCCACAGCATAAACATTATCTAGGTTCCAACGTGGGAGGAGGGGGGGGGAGATGGCCCCCACCCGTGTCCCCCCCTCCCCCCATGTCCCCCCCCCCCCACCGTGACCCGTGCTGGGTAATGCTAATTGGGTCGTCAGGGCGCAGAGCGGGGGGGGGCCTTTGTGAGTGGGGGGGCAGAGGACGAGAGGCTCCCTTTGTGCGGCTCAATGCGAACACGGGGTGAGGGTGGATAGACCCCAGCCCCGCCCCTCATCCCCCCTTCCCACCCACTCACCCCCTCCCTCACTCAACCAACCCCTAAAACTCATCCCCCCACGCCACTCACGTGGAGGCGACAACAGCCAAACGCAGTCGTCATACACAGTGAGTGAGCGGTGAGTGAGTGTGTGGTGAGTGAGCGGTGAGTGAGTGTGTGGTGAGTGAGCGGTGAGTGAGTGTGTGGTGAGTGAGTGAGCGGTGAGTGAGTGTGTGGTGAGTGTGTGGTGAGTGAGTGAGTGTGTGGTGAGTGTGTGGTGAGTGAGTGTGTGGTGAGTGAGCGGTGAGTGAGTGTGTGGTGAGTGAGTGTGTGGTGAGTGAGTGTGTGGTGAGTGAGTGTGTGGTGAGTGAGTGGTGAGTGAGTGGTGAGTGAGTGAGGGTGTGGTGAGTGAGCGGTGAGTGAGTGGTGAGTGAGTGAGTGTGTGGTGAGTGTGTGGTGAGTGAGCGGTGAGTGAGTGGTGAGTGAGTGAGTGTGTGGTGAGTGAGTGTGTGGTGAGTGAGTGGTGAGTGAGTGGTGAGTGAGTGAGGGTGTGGTGAGTGAGCGGTGAGTGAGTGGTGAGTGAGTGAGTGTGTGGTGAGTGAGCGGTGAGTGAGTGTGTGGTGAGTGAGTGTGTGGTGAGTGAGCGGTGAGTGGTGAGTGAGTGAGTGTGTGGTGAGTGAGCGGTGAGTGAGTGTGTGGTGAGTGAGTGTGTGGTGAGTGAGTGTGTGGTGAGTGTGTGGTGAGTGAGTGGTGAGTGAGTGAGTGAGTGTGTGGTGAGTGAGTGTGTGGTGAGTGAGTGTGTGGTGAGTGAGTGGTGAGTGAGTGAGTGGTGAGTGAGTGTGTGGTGAGTGAGCGGTGAGTGAGGGTGTGGTGAGTGAGTGGTGAGTGAGTGTGTGGTGAGTGAGGGTGTGGTGAGTGAGTGGTGAGTGAGTGAGTGGTGAGTGAGTGATAAGTGAGTGTGTGGTGGGTGAGTGGTGAGTGAGTGAGGGTGTGGTGAGTGAGTGGTGAGTGAGCGGTGAGTGAGTGTGTGGTGAGTGTGTGGTGAGTGAGTGTGTGGTGAGTGAGTGGTGAGTGAGTGGTGAGTGAGTGAGGGTGTGGTGAGTGAGGGTGTGGTGAGTGAGGGTGTGGTGAGTGAGTGGTGAGTGAGTGGTGAGTGAGTGAGGGTGTGGTGAGTGAGTGTGTGGTGAGTGAGTGGTGAGTGAGTGGTGAGTGAGTGTGTGGTGAGTGAGTGGTGAGTGAGTGGTGAGTGAGTGAGGGTGTGGTGAGTGAGGGTGTGGTGAGTGAGTGGTGAGTGAGTGAGTGAGTGGTGAGTGAGTGTGTGGTGAGTGAGCGGTGAGTGAGGGTGTGGTGAGTGAGTGGTGAGTGAGTGTGTGGTGAGTGAGGGTGTGGTGAGTGAGTGGTGAGTGAGTGAGTGGTGAGTGAGCGATAAGTGAGTGTGTGGTGAGTGAGTGGTGAGTGAGTGAGGGTGTGGTGAGTGAGTGGTGAGTGAGTGGTGAGTGAGTGTGTGGTGAGTGAGTGGTGAGTGAGTGTATGGTGAGTGAGTGGTGAGTGGTGACTGAGTGAGCAGTGAGTGTGTGGTGAGTGATGAGTGTGTGGTGAGTGATGAGTGAGTGTGTGGTGAGTGTGTGGTGAGGAGGAGTTCTCACCCGTGGTGAGGTGCTGGCTGTAGTTGGAGCGGTAGGTGCCGTGCTGGTATTGATGCAGCACCGACTCCATGCGGCTCAGAGTCTCGTCCACCCCCACCCGCAGCTCCCCTGGGCCATGCCACACCCTCGTTAGCTCACCTCGTCAACACACTCCTCGTTAGCTCACCTCATCAACACACTCCTCGTTAGCTCACCTCGTCAACACACTCCTCGTTAGCTCACCTCATCAACACACTCCTCGTTAGCTCACCTCGTCAGCACAATCCTCGTTAGCTCACCTCATCAACACACTCATCGTTAGCTCACCTCGTCAACACAATCCTCGTTAGCTCACCTCGTCAACACACTCCTCGTTAGCTCACCTCATCAACACTCTCCTCGTTAGCTCACCTCGTTAACACACTCCTCGTTAGCTCACCCCGTCAACACACTCCTCGTTAGATCACCTCGTCAACACACTCCTCGTTAGCTCACCCCGTCAACACACTCCTCGTTAGCTCACCTCATCAACACACTCCTCGTTAGCTCACCTCGTCAACACACTCCTCGTTAGCTCACCTCGTCAACACACTCCTCGTTAGCTCACCTCATCAACACACTCCTCGTTAGCTCACCTCGTCAACACACTCCTCGTTAGCTCGCCTCGTCAACACACTCCTCGTCAGCTCACCCCGTCAACACAATCCTCGTTAGCTCACCTCGTCGTTAGCTCACCCCGTCAACACACTCCTCGTCAGCTCACCCCGTCAACACACTCCTCGTTAGCTCACCTCGTCAACACCCTCGTCAGCTCACCTCGTCAACACAATCCTCGTCAGCTCACCTCGTCAACATCCTCTTCGTCAGCTCACCTCGTCAACAAAATCCTCGTCAGCTCACCTCGTCAACATCCTCTTCGTCAGCTCACCTCGTCAACACACTCCTCGTTAGCTCACCCCGTCAACACACTCCTCGTTAGCTCACCTCGTCAACACACTCCTCGTTAGCTCACCTCGTCAACACACTCCTCGTTAGCTCACCCCGTCAACACACAACTCGTTAGCTCACTAACACACACAAATACCAGTCACCCATGCAGATACCCAAAAACAAAGATCCCCCGTGTATCCTGTAACAGACTGTAGGGGCAAGTGCTGTTAGCGAGCAGCACCTATGAAGGCCGGCACAGCACACGAGGGGGTGAGTGGCCAGCACCACGCCCGGCCGCTTTTGTCTCCCCAGTGGTGGTGTTTGCACTGTACTAATTTTGAGTACTGTACTAATTTTGAGGCTGAGTCGACCTAGGAGAGGCCCAGGACCAGTTCAGATAATCGTCACCGGTATTGGCCGTGAGTGGGAATCGATCCCAAGTACCCACACACCTCGTCACCACCCCCCCCGTCACCCCCCTGTCACCACCCCCCCGTCACCCCCTCCCCCGTCACCCACCCCGTTACCCCCTCCCCGTCACCCCCCCGTCACCCCCCCCGTCACCCACCCCCGTTACCCCCCCCGTCACCCCCCCCGTCACCCCCCCCGTCACCCCCCCCCCGTTACCCCCCCCGTCACCCCCCCCGTCACCCCCCCCCCGTCACCCCACCGTCACCCCCCCCCCCCGTCACCCACCCCCCGTCACCCCCCCCGTCACCCAACCCCGTTACCCCCCGTCACCCCCCCCCCGTCACCCCACCGTCACCCTCCCCGTCACCCACCCCGTCACCCCCCCCGTCACCCCACCGTCACCCTCCCCGTCACCCACCCCGTCACCCCCCCCGTCACCCCCACCGTCACCCCCCCCGTCACCCACCCCCGTCACCCCCCTTGGCGCCCCCTCCTCACCGGTCGCGTTGACGATGTCGTTGAGCTGGGATCTCAGGCCGGCGGGGGCGCTGTGGGGGAGCAGGTAGGTGAAGAAGTACCTGCCAGAGCCACGGGTACTTGCTCAGATACTCACCCAGGTACTCACTGAGATACTCTGCCAGATTTTCATTTGGATACTCACTCACCCAGGTACTCACTGAGATAATCACACAGATACTCACGCCAGCATTGACTAACTAATCCATTCACCCATGACTCTGCTGGTCACTCACCCCCTCGCTCATCTGTACACTCAACTCATCGCTCACCTGTACACTCATGGTATCGCTCACCCCCGCACACTCACCACGCCACACACCCGCACACTCACCACGCCACACACCCGCACACTCACCACGCCACACACCCGCACACTCACCACGACGCTCCACCGCACACTCGCCGCTCCGCTCACCACCTCCCCCCCGCACACTCGCCGCTCACCGCTCACCCCCGGCACCCTCACCGCGCCGCTCACCGCTCACCCCCGGCACCCTCACCGTGCCGCTCACCGCTCACCCCCGGCACCCTCACCGCGCCGCTCACCGCTCACCCCCGGCACCCTCACCGCGCCGCTCACCGCTCACCCCCGGCACCCTCACCGCGCCGCTCACCGCTCACCCCCCGGCACCCTCACCGCGCCGCTCACCGCTCACCCCCGGCACCCTCACCGCGCCGCTCACCGCTCACCCCCGGCACCCTCACCGCGCCGCTCACCGCTCACCCCCGGCACCCTCACCGCGCCGCTCACCGCTCACCCCCGGCACCCTCACCGCGCCGCTCACCGCTCACCCCCGGCACCCTCACCGCGCCGCTCACCGCTCACCCCCGGCACCCTCACCGCGCCGCTCACCGCTCACCCCCGGCACCCTCACCGCGCCGCTCACCTGTACGCGTTGTAGAGGTTGCGCTTCTCGTTGAGGCCCGCGCACGTCCTGGTGCGCGGGCAGCAGGGGAGCGTGAAGTTCCTCGCGGGGAAGTGGAGGGAGCACGGCGGGGGGCCCCCCGTGCCCCCCCCCGCGGCCGCCCCGCGCCACCGACAGGGGGGGTCCCCGGCGCCTGCGTCGTCCAGGTCGCTCGCCTTGAGCTCCCCGTCGCGCAGCACGAACTGGCGCGGGCGGAAGTCGAGGAGCGCGACGGGGCCCAGCGGGGAGTGGGCGAGGTAGTGGAGCAGCCTCGTGAGGCTCAAGCAGATCTACTCGCACGCACGGGGGGCGGTCACACGCACACACACACAAGGGTTGTCACACACACACACAAGGGTTGTCACACACACACACACAAGGGTTGTCACACACACACACAAGGGCAGTCACACACACACAAGAGTTGTCACACACACACACAAGGGTTGTCACACACACACAAGGGCGGTCACACACACAAGGGCAGTCACACACACACAAGAGTTGTCACACACACACAAGGGTTGTCACATACACACACAAGGGCGGTCACACACACACAAGAGTTGTCACACACACACACAAGGGCAGTCACACACACACAAGGGTTGTCACACACACACACAAGGGCGGTCACACACACACAAGGGTTGTCACACACACACACACACAAGGGCAGTCACACACACACACAAGGGTTGTCACACACACACAAGGGCAGTCACACACACACAAGGGTTGTCACACACACACAAGAGTTGTCACACACACAAGGGTTGTCACACACACACACAAGGGCAGTCACACACACACAAGGGTTGTCACACACACACAAGGGCAGTCACACACACACAAGAGTTGTCACACACACACACAAGGGTTGTCACACACACACACAAGGGCAGTCACACACACACAAGGGCAGTCACACACACACAAGGGTTGTCACACACACACACAAGGGCGGTCACACACACACACACACAAGGGCAGTCACATACAAGGGTTGACACACACACACACAAGGGCGGTCACACACACACACACAAGGGCAGTCACACACACACACACAAGGGCAGTCACACACAAGGGTTGTCACACACACACACAAGGGCAGTCACACACACACACACAAGGGCGGTCACACACACACACAAGGGCAGTCACACACAAGGGTTGTCACACACACACACAAGGGCAGTCACACACACACACAAGGATGGTCACACACACACAAGGGCAGTCACACACACACAAGAGTTGTCACACACACACACAAGGGCAGTCACACACACACAAGGGCAGTCACACACACACAAGGGTTGTCACACACACACACACACAAGGGCAGTCACACACACACAAGGGTTGTCACACACACACACACAAGGGCAGTCACACACACACAAGGGCAGTCACACACACACAAGGGTTGTCACACACACACACACAAGGGCAGTCACACACACACACAAGGGTTGTCACACACACACACAAGGGCAGTCACACACACACAAGGGCAGTCACACACACACGTGTTGTCACACACACACAAGGGTTGTCACACACGCACACACAAGGGCGGTCACACACACACAAGGGCGGTCACACACACGCAAGGGCGGTCACACACACACAAGGGCAGTCACACACACACACAAGGGCAGTCACACACAAGGGTTGTCACACACACACACAAGGGCAGTCACACACACACACAAGGGCGGTCACACACACACACACAAGGGCAGTCACACACAAGGGTTGTCTCACACACACACACACAAGGGCGGTCACACACACACACAAGGGCAGTCACGCACAAGGTTTGTCACACACACACACAAGGGCGGTCACACACACACACAAGGGCAGTCACACACACACAAGGGCAGTCACACACACACACACGCAAGGGCAGTCACACACACACAAGGGTTGTCACACACACACACAAGGGCGGTCACACACACACACAAGGGCGGTCACACACACACACAAGGGTTGTCACACACACACAAGGGTTGTCACACACACACACACAAGGGCGGTCACACACACACAAGTGCGGTCACACACACACAAGAGTTGTCACACACACACACACAAGGGCGGTCACACACACACACACAAGGGCGGTCACGCACACACGGAAGGGTTGTCACACACACACACACAAGGGCGGTCACACACACACAAGGGCGGTCACACACACACACACAAGGGCAGTCACACACACACACACAAGGGCGGTCACACACACACACAAGGGCAGTCACACACACACAAGGGTTGTCACACACACACAAGGGCGGTCACACAAACACACAAGGGTTGTCACACACACACACAAGGGCGGTCACGTACACACACACACAAGGGTTGTCACACACACGCACAAGGGCGGTCACACACACACACACACAAGGGCGGTCACACACACACACACAAGGGCGGTCACACACACACACAAGGGTTGTCACACACACACACAAGGGCGGTCACACACACACACACACAAGGGCGGTCACGTACACACACAAGGGCGGTCACACACACACACAAGAGTTGTCACACACACAAGGGCGGTCACACACACACACACAAGGGCGGTCACGTACACACACAAGGGCGGTCACACACACACAAGGGTTGTCACACACACACACAAGGGCGGTCACGCACACACGGAAGGGCGGTCACACACACACATTGTGGTCACACACACAGGAGGAAGCCACACGGATGGGCAGTCACACACACATGGGGGCAGCCATACACACGCACGCACACAGGGGCAGTCACACACAGGTAGACACACACACAGGTAGTCACGGAGGTAGTCATGCAGGTAGTCACACACACAGCTAGTCACACACACAGGTGGGCACGGAGGTAGTGATGCAGGTAGTCACACACATAGCTAATGACACACAGGTAGTCACGGAGGTAGTCACACACACAGCTAATGACACACACAGGTAGTCACGGAGGTAGTCATACAGGTAGTCACGTGGGTAGTCACACACAGTCACACACACAGGTAATCACACACACAGATAGTCACACACACACACAGGTAATCACACACACAGGTAGTCACACACACAGATAATCACACACACAGGCAGTCACACACGGGTAGTCACACACACAGATTAGTCACACACAGATTAGTCACACAGGTAGTCACGCAGGTAGTCACGTGGCTCGGACCCGGAATCGCTCCTCCCACGACGTCTGCAGGAGCTGGATCATCTCGAGCGGAGAGCCGAGCTCCGTGATGGCCGTGAGCGAGTCCGAGACGTCGTTACTCTCCCGGTAGCAGTGTCCGTACAGCTACAACAACAACAACATCAGCGTCAACAACCTCATCATTATCATCAACATCGTCATCGTCGTGAGCAAGTCCGAGACTCCGTTACCCTCCCGGTAGCAGTGTCCACTCCGCAACAACGCGTCATGCACATCCTGGGTCAGCGGCCCCTAGGTTGATCCAGGTTGTGCGGTGTATAAAAAAAATCCCCATCTAATCCGGGGAGACAAAGACGGCCAGGGTATGTTTATATGGAACATGCTGTCCTTAATAGGTGCTCCTCAACAGTACTTGCACTCGCAGCCTATTAAAGGCGATATGGGTGGGGGGTCCTCGCCTTTGTTTACATGTGCACGGTGTTTAAATTATATACAGTACTACATGTGTACACGTGTTGTTCCTCACACTCTCTCCTCCTCGTCAGTCACGAGTCTCTCTGCTGGAGGAGGAGCGGGAAGTGGGGGGGGATGGGAGTCGCCGCTCAGCAGGAGCGCGAGACATTCCGAGAGCGGCTCACCGCTGCCTGCCTGCCTACCTCACTCCCGGAGTCTCCCAGAGACTCCACGAGACTCAACTCCCTGCATTGCTCCACCCTCACCTCCCTGCCTCTCTCCTCGCATCTTTCCCTTCCTGCCTCCCCGTCTCCCTACCTCCCTGTGGAGGCGAGAAACGGACTGTGAGCGTGAGGTCACGTGCGCACCTTCGTTTGTGAATTACGTGCGCGTGTCCACACGTGTGTTTGCGTGTGCGCGCGCACGTACGCGCATCTCGTGTGTTCGTGCGTCACGTTACACCGTGGGATCTCTGTGTGTTGTCACCGCCTGTACGTGCGTCCAAATGTTCACATGCGTGCCTCTGAGACCGTATCCATCTCAGCAGCTCAACCACGTTGCAGCGCCGCGCGGTTCATAGGCTGCGGTAAACCTCCTCGTCCCTCGCCGTGGGATGTTTAAGGCGGTAAGAATGGGCGCCCACTCTATCTGGAACACCACCGCCAAGCAGGGTTTCTGTGGAGGTCTCGACTGGGTAACCCAGTGCAGCCATAACAGCTGCGTGAGTCACAGTCCTTAATCTTAGCCATTCCCCCTTGGCATCGGGACGATGCCAACTACCTGCAAGCAATGATAGCATCATTGCTTACGACTTTCAACAGTTATCTGAGACCAGGTGTTTGTGAATTTTGAATGGGGTCCAAGGTGGATGCCCCAACCCCCACAGTGGAAGATTGACAGGCGCATCTTATAGACAACAAACCGATGGTCGCTGGATAGATCAGCTCCATGACAGATTTTGGTGTGAAGGCCATGGCCAGCAGATGTTCTTGCTTGGGACTCGGCATGCACACAAGGCGTTGTAATGGATGTGTCAATGAGCGAACGGTTTGTTGGTGCTCACAAGCCCATGGGTTGCACAGAAATCAAGCAGCCTCATACCTTTGCTTAACGAGCCGATCTGACTCAATAACAATAACTTTTGCCCCAAGTGCCCGCGTCATGATCCAACTCGGGGGGGGCATTAACGTCACCCAATAAGATGACTCGATATCAAGTGGACACTTTAGCCAAGGCTCGGGAAAGGGGTCCGACAGAATCTGACTCATCATCAGCCTTGCCTGCATCCCTCCACAGACGTTGACGTTTGGTGAGGACGTAGGCAACCACCACCATTCCTCCCGTTGATGCGGAGGCGAGCCAACAATGGCCTGGGACTCGTAGCCTCCCACACACCCATTCACTATTGTACTCAGAAGGCACACTCGCTATTGTTTGATGTCATCCTGGCTCGAATGCAGGACCGTCCATTCCTCTTGTGACGGCAGCAGGTCCTCCAGTCCACTGGGATCCAGGCCCTCCAGTCCACTGGAGGACCTGGATACCAAGCAGCACGCGTTAACGCGTCCTGGATCCCAAGCAGCAAGCGTTAACGTGTCCTGGATCCCAAGTAGCAAGCGTTAACGCGTCCTGGATCCCAAGCAGCAAGCGCTAACGTGTCCTGGATCCCAAGTAGCAAGCATTAACGTGTCCTGGATACCAAGCAGCAAGCGTTAACGTGTCCTGGATCCCAAGTAGCAAGCATTAACGCGTCCTGGATCCCAAGCAGCAAGAGTTAACGTGTCCTGGATCCCAGGCAGCAAGCGTTAACGTGTCCTGGATACCAAGCAGCAAGCGTTAACGTGTCCTGGATCCCAAGCAGCAAGAGTTAACGTGTCCTGGATACCAAGCAGCAAGCGTTAACGTGTCCTGGATCCCAAGTAGCAAGCGTTAACGTGTCCTGGATCCCAAGTAGCAAGAGTTAACGCGTCCCACCAGAGATCGCCGTGAAGAGGTGGATCCAGCCTTACCATCAGACACACCAAATCAGAGCGAATCTCTGGGTACTTTGTGTGAACAAACACTCCACGCTGACCAGCTCGCCAGGAGTACAGGGGGGGGGGGGAGTCGTGACAGTGTTGCTCGTGGCCAGCTCTGATAAGGCGAAGGAGGTTTCACTCCGAATTGAGTCGAGCAGGCACTATCTATTCAATGGCTACATAATGCTCCCGGGAAGTCTGTAGCTCCACATGAATCTCCGGGGCTTCTCAGCCACGCTCATACCCCCTCTTCTTTATGCTTGTGAAATGTGGTCGTCTTTAAAAAAAATAACATGAGCGCTAGCCTGAAACACTTCGGCTGACCTGCCTTCAAGCTATCCTGGGTTTAACCAAACTGAATTGTGTGAGGAGCTCACGATCCCATCAGTGAGCTCCTCTGGCAGGCGAGGAGGCTGTGTTGGCTGGGTCATGTAGCCCGCATGCCCAGCCACCGCATGCCCAAGCTGCATATGTTAGGCTACCCAGAGGAGGCTTAAACGGGGTGCGGGACGTGCAAGAGAAGGATGGGCTGATGTAGTACAGGAGGATGTGGAGCTAATGGAACTTGTCGATGACTGGTACAAGCAGTATTCAAGATGGACCTCTGTGGAGGAGGCTTGTGAAGGACGCCACTGAGCAGTTGGAGTGAGTCGCCCTCCAACAACGTCCCGTGACCTCCTGGCAGTGAGCTTTCCACACTTAACGTGGCCTCAGTGCACCTATTCTTGCAAAAGCACTTTGTGACGAATGGCGGCTACTGTTATATATCTTTGTCTATGTGTATCCGTGCGAGTGTGACTTTACGTGTGAATGTTTATGGGCGTGTATCTACGAGCATGTGTGTACGTGAGAATGTATCCATGAGTATGTGTGTATCTTTGTATCGATGTGTATTTGTGTGTCTTATGTATCAATGTGTGTGTCAATGAGTGGGGGGCGGTAGTGCAGCGCTGCGCTACGAACCCAGCGACCCGAGTTCGATTCTGGTTCACGGCCAACACCAGTGATGATTATCTGTACCGATCTTGGACCTCCCCTTGGTCGACTCAGCCTTAAATGAGTACCTGGTGCGGTGTGTAAAAACATCACTGGGGAGACAAAGTGGCCGGCCGTAGTGTTGGGTACCCACCCCCTTGTTGTGCCGTTCCGGCTTTCGTACGTGTTCACGAACAGCACTTGCCCTAACAGTCCGTTGAAGGCTACACATGGGATGGGATCTTTGTCTATGAGTATGTGTGTGCATCTCTGAGTATATATGTGTGAGTGTGTATGAGTATGTGTGTGGGTTGGATTCCCACTCACGGCCAACACCAGTGACGATTATCTGAACCCGTCCTGGGCCTCCCCTAGGTCGACTCAGCCTCAAATGAGTACCTGGTGCGGTGGATAAAAACATTGCCACTGGGGAGACAAAGGCGGTCGGGCGTGGTGCTGGCCACCCACCTCCTCGTGTACCGTTCCGGCCTTCATAGGTGCTCGCTAACAGCACTTGCCCCTACAGTCTGTAACAGGCTATACGGGGGATCTTTGTTTTGTTTTTTGTGTATCTGTGTATGCGTGTGTATCTGTGTGTATGAGTATGTGTGTGTGTATCTGTGTGTATAAGTATGTGTGTGTATCTGTGTGTGTATCTGACCGGGTCCAGTTTAACAGCAGAGGTCTCACTCCGAATCAGTCGAGCGGCAATATCTTTTCATCGGAAGCTACCTGGTCTGTCGCTCCGCACTAAGCTTCAGGTCTTCTCGGCCACGGTCATTCCCTCCCTTCTCTACGCTTGCGAAACGTGGACCCCCCTAATGGAACATCTTCGCCGGTTAGAAACATTTAGGCTAGCCTGCCTACGATCCATCCTGGGTTTAACCAGGCTGGATTGTGTGAGGAGCTCACAAATCTTTGAAAGATCTGGGCAAGGTCCTATCGGTGAGCTCCTCCGGCAGGCAAGGCTGCGTTGGCTGGGCCATGTAGCCCGCATGCCCAGCCACCGCATGCCGAAACCGCTTTTGTTCGGCCGGATCGAGGGGGCTAAACGGGCGCGGCACGGGCTAGAGAAGAGATGGAGTGATGTGGTACAGGAGGACGTGGAGCTGAGTGGACTTGCCGATGACTGGTACCAGCGGTGTCAAGATCGGCCTCTGTGGAGGAGGCTCGTGAAGGACGCTGCTACTGGGCAGTTGGAGGCAGTCGCCCTCCAACAACAACGGAGGGCGGAGGAGCGACGCTCACAACAACGAGCGAAGCGTCGGGTGGCTAAAGCACAGCAGGTTGGCACAGTAGGGGGCACAGGTGGTGCATCAGCCAGTCATCTCAGTCATCTTAGTCAGTCGACCCGTGGCACTTGGGTCTGCCCCGTGACCTCCTGCCAGCGGGCGTTTGACACTTCACGTGGCTTCAAGGTGCACATGGCCTGGCACAAGCGTCGTGGTCACGTCACCATCACTTAGTGGCGAATAGCGGTTGTTGTGTATCTGTGTGTGAGTATCTGTGTATCCGTGTGTGTGTATGAGTATCTGTGTATGAGCGTGTATCTGTGTGGAAGGGAAAGATGTGTATCTGTGTGCGTGTATATCTATCTGTGAGTGTGCATGAGTATGTGTGTATGTGTCTAAGTCGACTTAGCCTCAGTTGAGTACCTTGTGAGGTGTGTAAGCATCGCCACTAGGGAGACAAAGGCGG